CGTTTTCGTGTTCTTTTCATGTATTTAGCATTTTAGTTTTTTTCTTCTTAAGCGTTGTAGCTATATAAAATAGGAATTTAATTATTTTTGAAGGAACGATCACACTTACCTTGGATCTCTTTGGTTTTTCTATTCTTTATTTTAACAGTTTTTATTAAATGTAATTAGTTATTTTCAGAAAAGTTTCAGTTTGCAGGTAAGCACTTAGATTTTAATATTGAAGTTTCATGATTTGCTTTCATAGTAACTGTTGTTCTAAAGTATTCGTTGACTTCTTAAAAACCCGATTACTGACATGGCAGAACCGCCTTCCAAAAAGCTTTGTATTATGTGAAAGAAAAAGATATTAAGAGATTCTCAAAGAAGAAGAAGGGCCCAAGAAACGTCTGTGGAACGTCAAAGAAGGATGGACCGAATTTCGACAAGCAATTCTAGAGCCCAAGAAGTATCAGAGAAACGTCAAATAAGATTAGAAGAGGTTTTCAGCTATTGGCCAATGATGATTTCGAAAGCAACTTTTGTATGCTTTTACAATTTCTGAGGCCTTTTAAAAATAAAAAAAATATTTCTTCACCTGATAGTTATATTATAGGTTAGGTTACCATAGGCCTTCGGTTACCATAGCAAAGTTACATCTTCAAACATCCTCAAGAGCTATAACACATCTGCAGCAGAACTGGATATGAAGACTTTAATTGTCCACTAATCTTCAGATTTCCTGCTATGTTTTAAAAAACTTTATTTGTGAAAACCTTTAGCGTGGAGGACAGCTGGCAGCCTTTGGCGGCTAGTATAATAATAATATCAACGAATCAATTAATATCAAATATTTCGGACATTCACCAAAGCGATTGTTTATATTCACCGGTTAAAGTCAACAGACTCTTGATTTCCGTTATTCACGGTAACATATACAATAATAGATTGCTACACTTTTAATTAGCTTAATCAGCTTTGTTAATTAATGAGAATAACAGTCCTAATTTAAAAATTTCAAATCAAAAAAGATGCTGTAGAGTGCACGAGCGAGTAAAAAATAAGACAACCGAATCAATTTATATTACTTTTAAAATCATTTATCATGGCTGAAAGCCCTTATATAGCAAGACGGAAAAGAGAAAAAAAACTGGTATGTAAGACATTTCATTCCAGCATTTTTTTCGAAAAAAATAAGTATCAAGATATCTTTTATAATTTTGGCATATATATAAAACTGCTTCTTTTCCAAGATAAAATAGATATTGTTGAATAATTTGAAAAAGGAATAACTGAATAGGTTTTACTACCAGTCTTTCCTCTTTTCCGTCTCGCTGGCACGTCTGTCATTTATTGAAATTTTTATAACGATTCATAAATCTCGTTCAATGCGATAATGCAGGCAGATCTATTCTCCATGAAAGCAAAATTCTCTTGAAAAGTCTGACAGCAGATACGGATCTCTTGAAATCTCGAAAACAGTAAAACCTAAGCATTAGTTTAGCCATGTTAATGGATTGGAGGGAAAATAGTAATTAAATATTTTATTATACAACAAGAGATCTCTAATAAGTTTTTTTTTTCAAAGTTGAGAGGCTCACGAAGTTGGGCTGCCAACTTTCTTCGCTTTTTGTAAAAAAAAATCTAGTGGTAGCTAAGTTAATGTTTTAANCTTCTACCAGTATTTTCTCTTTTCCGTCCCGCTTTCGGGCGCAACACCCGGCGTGCACGCGTTATGAAACGTTGCTCAAATATCTCAGTGCGCTACCGAAAAGAGGAATTAACTGATTCATTGGATTTTTGAGACAGCTAATGGGTCATGGCTGAAAGCCCTTATATAGCAAGACGGAAAAGAGAAAAAACTGATACGTAAGACATTTCATTTCAGCATTTTATTCGAAAAAAATAAAATATCTGTAACTATCAAGATTTCTTTTATAATTTTAGCATATATATAAAACTGCTTCTTTTCCAAGATAAAGTAGATATTGTTGAATAATTTAAAAAAGGAATAAGTAAACTCCTCCCAAAAACTAGCTATAACTGAAAAGGTTTTACTACCAGCCTTTCCTCTTTTCCGTCTCGCTTTCACGTCTGTCATTTATTGAAATTTTTACAACGATTCATAAATCTCGAATGCGATATTGCAGGCAGATCTATTCTACACCATCTCCATCAAAGCAAAATTCTCTTGAAAAGTCTAAAAGCAAATACGGATCTCCTGAAATCTCGAAAACAGTAAAACCTATGCATTAGTTTAGCCATGTTAATGGATTGGAGGGAAAATAGTAATTAAATATTTTATTATACAACTAGAGATCTCTAATAAGTTTTTTTTTCACATTGAAAGGCTCACGAAGTAGGGCTGCCAACTTTCTTCGCTTTTTGTTCAAAAAAATCCAGTGGTAGCTAAGTTAATGTTTTAATTTATTATTTTCCATTCATATAAACTTATTTTCCATACCACTACATATGAAAAGTTTATATGCAACACTGTATTTTCTAGTTTTTCGAGGTGAAGCATTTACAGTCCTGTAAACTACTACGCTTTTAGCAAACTATTTAATAAAGTGGTAGACAATTAAAAGCGAAAATTTTCATAGTTTTTAGTACCTTTAGCAACATTTTAAAAGCCTCACCACCAGCCTTACCAATAACAAAGTGGCATTGCTTCGGAACTTTTAAATCATTGATATGTAGTGGTCTTGAAAATAAGTTCAAATGAATAGTTAAAAAATATATTAAAACATAAACTTAGCTACCACTAGAATAAATGTTTACAAAAAGTGAAGAAAGTTGGCAGTCCTGCTTTTAAAATGTTGGCAAAATTACCGAAAATTCAGAAAGCTTCAGTCTTTAAATTTCCTATTACTCTATAAAATATTCTACGAAAAGCGTAGTAGTTAGGAAGCCGGGCGGAAAGTCTATATATCAATATTAAAATAAAAAACAATAGATGGTGGTAAATCATTTCCTTCTATCTTGTTTTCGGGGGAAAACTAATTTTCAAAAAATCACTGTTTATTTAAATCAATCTTTTTAATGAAATTATGAAAGGATACACACATAAATATTATAATTTAAATACATCTTTCTTTCATGAATTCTTTGTAAAAGAAAACTTCATCATCACTGAAACAAAACTTTTAAAAAAATCATAGTCTAAATAATGTAATTATCTACGATATTACTGAAAAATTATTTTACTTTTTTTGAAGATAATTAATAATTCAGTTTGAAATCAAGTGATTTAACATCTATTTTATTTATTTAGATTATTAATTTATCTAGGTTAATAAGACTGTCTTCTTTGTTTAAGATATGCCAAGTTACAATAATATAGTCATGTTATACCAAGCCTTATCTTTTTTTTTAAAAAAAAATCATGTTCCATAATTATTTTATTGGCGTTTAAGCGGGGAAAAAATCCACATATTTTGTCGTCCAGTGGTCAAACTTTGATATACATTTAATTGTCCATTTGCCTGACTGTTTCTAAAAGATGAATTGCTTCTAAAAATATGTATAAGAAGTTTTAACATCCTTTTTTAATTTGCCAGAAATGAGAAACCTTATTATGTAGTCAAAAAATCAATTTACAAACAAAAAAGAAAAAAGCCGAAAACTGATTATTTTTTGTTACAGTTGGAGTCTTAAAAATTCTTTTTTCATGCAGTTTCTATTTCCGTATTAAAAATTCATTTCACATAAAATAAACTGAACTTCTCGACTAAATGAAACTCTCCAAAATTATTCACTATTTAAAAAAAAAAAACATCGAGAAACTATAAGTACTGACAAAATATTCTATGTTGTGATCATTCTCTTTTTCAGAAAAGTATCGAAATTTGTTCGCATGCTCATATTAAGACAAGTGTAATAGACATTCAAGTTTTAAATGTATAACTTTTGTTGCAGATGTTGGGCCATTCCTGTGAATCCATATGAATGGGTAACTAATAGTCCGAATTTGCTTAGTCTAGTCGTAAGTATAGCTTGTTTTTTATGAAAATTAATAATTATAGATATTGTAAGATGAATATTTGACGTATAAAAAAATAAAATGTTATAACAAAAGCATGATAAAAATTACAATAATTAGATTTTAAGAATGTTAGCAATAAATTGTTTATCGTGTAATATTTTTTTTTATATAATAAGTAACAATCATATTATATAATTTGGTTATTTAATATAAAGGTATAAAAAGTTTATATTTCTATGTGTGTCCCGGTAGAGGGGAGAACAAACTGTAAAGGGTTAATTTTCTTAAAAAAGTAGTTCCCTGGCTGTTTATCCTCTTGTAACGTTCTCGACACATACTAGCACCAGGCCTGAAAGCGGGACGGATACGAGAAAATACTGGTAGAAGAACTATTTCAATATTAGATAATATTCGGGAGGAGTTAATCTATTCTCAACAATAACAATTCACTGTAAGGAAATTTTTCACGGCGAAGAAGCAATTCAATATGAAAATTGCATCCGTAAAAACAATTGGTAGTTATGGATTTTTATTATTCTGGGAAAAAAAACTGAAAAGGGAAATTTATTTGTTACCAGTTTTTACTCTTTTCTACTTATATGATCTTTCAGCCCTGACTAGCACAGGTGCCAACCGGAAGCTAATTAACATTTTAATATGACTATTAATGACTCCCAATATTACCATTTCCTAGTCCTAGTGTTTCGATTTTATTGGGCACCTGGGCCGCGAAGCGGCCCCTATCCCATTCATCTGGAATTTTAGAACAGTTTTGGTTGAGCAATGAGGTAAGCAGGCAATGGAGTTGCTTTTATGAATGTTTCAAGCTCTTTGCTTGAATAACTAAAAAGGAATCAAAAATAAATTGAGCAGCTTGCTCTAAACTGTGTTTGTTTGATTTTGGAGTTGTTCAGAATTGTATCAGCATGAGTAAACGTTATTTTCAGAAAGGTTGATGAAATTATTTGTTTTGATAGTTATGATATGAGGCGTCGGAGGTGAAATGTGCAGCTATTGGTCTGTAGTTTTTATCTTTGATATAATTTTCAAATTTAAAGATTTCATTAAAATTTGCTGTTTTACATTCTATGGCTTTATCGAAAAAATCTGCGTTTAGCTTGTATATATGCTGTGATAGAGTTGGTATTTTGAGGTCTGCATGTATATTGGTATTCCGGATGAACCATCTTGCACAGGTTATTTTTCTAAGGATCTTGTTTTGGCATTGGTTTAATTTCTTCAGTAGATGTTGAGTTATCGTTGTCCAGGCAGGTGAGGCATAGGTAAGTATTAAGCGGATCATTGCTGTATATAGTAGCTTCTATAGTTTAAGTGACATATTCTGATTATATATAAATGGTTGTATGGCTATTAATGCTGCATTTGCTTTATCTATTGTGCTTTTGATGTGATCATTCCAGGTGAGTTTGTTATTGATTATAAGGCCAAGATAATTTGCTTTTTTAACTATTTGTATTGGTATGTTGAACATTTTTGGTTGAAGTTGTGGAAGTATTTTAATTCTTCTTTTTTGTATTATTAATATTTGTGATTTTCCAGCATTCACTGCAGTTTTCCATTTTAAGCACCAGTCTTCTATTTCGTCTATATGGTCTTGTAGTTTTTGAAGAGCATGATTTGGGTTTCTGGATTTAATTAATATTACCATTTGTCTTATTAACAGCATATATATCTGTTTGAATTATTTTTTTGTAGTGGTGCGATATACTTTTAATTCTTATTTATTAACATATTTATAGAATGCGTTTGGTACCACTAAAATAAAATTCTTAATCTGAGGAAATTCCATAGCAGTTAGAGAGTACGTTAAAGGATGGTCTTTAGAGAACACCATTTTTACACAAAATAAATATTTGTATAAATTTCGGATGAATTCTTACAATAGATACAAAAAAATTGTGTATTTACTTAATTATGTGTTTTTAAGTTTAGATTTTATAATTTCAAAATGCACATAAAAGGCGGTTTTAAAAAAACACCACGTATACACAAAATACATATTTAACTCCTAGTTTTCTCCCAGTTTTATTTCGAGTTATTTTTTCCCACCACTACAATTCAACAATTCAGAGCCTCATATAAAACTTTGTTGAACTTATGTTACATTATGAAATTGTGTAACTATGTTGAAGTTATTAATAACTTCAACTTTGTAGAAATTGTATATTTACATACCAGCCAAGTACTACAATTATTGTAAAAAATTTTATAGACTGTTAGACATACAAAAACCAAAGCTTTCACAATTTTAGGTAATTTTGCTAAAATTTAAAGCCCCACCATCAAAGTGTATATGAACTTTTAAATCATTTAAGTATAGTGGCGAGTAAAATAAATTTAAATGAATAGTAAATAATGTATTCAAACATGAACTTAGCGGATTGAACATGAACATGAACTTAACCAGCGTAATAAATTTTTAAAAAGGGTTGAAAGTCAGCAGCCCTGGTTACGTAAGTTTAACTAAAATGAAAAATTAGCTAAAATGAAGAATACTTAACTAAAAATAATTTAAATTTTTTAACTACTAGGAAATTATTTTTATAAAACGGATTAAGTTGGCATCTCTGCTTTAGATCTAAATATTGTTGCTTAAATTCTTAAAATGCCAACCATAGTGCTGGTGTAAAATATCCTCAGTGGCATACGTATCATGGGTTAGAGTCCTAAGCCGTCAGACTAACCATGCGAGGTTTTCGTGTTTTTGCTCTCTATGTAATGCAAATGCGTTTTAGTTCCATCAAAAAGTCCTCCACTGTGACAAAATGTCTCCCAGTTCCTGATACAAGAGTTCCCTTGTCTTCTGGAGTTTGTTCAAAATGACAAGGCTATGGAGTTAAACATAGCTAGAGTCATAAACCTAAAATTGGGCAGACTGGTAACAACGGTTTTTTTATAAAGATTTTGCGGAATCCGGAGCAATTAGAGTCTTTGCAAATTTACTTGACATCCAAACCAAACATAAATATTTAGATATTATAGTAGACAGAGAGCTAACACTTTTCTTTTTCGTGAAAAGGAATAACCGTTTTATAAAAAGATACTGGACACAAATGAATTGAGATGCGATGATAGTTCGACAGATTAATTTTAATTTACGATATTAAATAAGAGCTGACAATGAACGAAGCAAGACACTCATTCTTTCTCTCAATAAACATGTTTTTTCTTTCCGAAAATTTCAGGTTTTTGTCTCTGGAAAAATTGCATAGCTGATAAATATTCAGATTTTTGCGAGATATTTTCTTTTTATGAAGTTGTCACAAAATGCATAAGTTCATAAATTTTATCTCGGTTTAAGAAAGTTGATTTTTTTTCTCACTAGTATCCCACTTAAAAGAACTCTGCATATGTACCTATACTTCACATGGAAGTAAAAAAAATGTCCTAATTACAAGGACATAATACAAAATAAAGTTCTCTTCTGTGCAGTTAATGTTTTGCTTACATCATTACCGTTTTTCAATATTTAGTATGTAAAATAAAGAAAAAAAATCCTACATTTTTCATATCCTTCTTGGACAAAAAATTCGTAGTCTTTTTCTGAAATCCATTTAAAACATTTGAACTTACCGCATTTACGAACGATCAAAGAATTGTGTTCAAAAGGGAAAAAAAGTTGATTCCGTAATTTCATTTCTTATTCAAAGGCGGCCTCGTTTTAACTCATTTCCAGCCAATGGAACGGAAAAGTACCTTTCTGTGGCGGTGCGTTAAGTACCTTTATGAAGATAAAAAATGGCTGAGACTTTCTGTTCAAACTAGGTGTGTTTCCTAGAGCCAAATTACTTTAATCTTCAAATAATCGCAATTTGCTGATTTCAGATCGATATAAAAATATTCGTGACATAAATTTATTCTGGTGTGTACACTAATGTCTAGTTTTCATCTCAATAAATTATGAGAATACATTAATTGAATGACCAGTCTTTACATTTTTGAAAGGGTTTCCGAATTCGTATTAGTAGAGAATCTATTGGGACAAAATAGATCGTGCTACTTTTTTCCGTGAGTGATTTGCCAACAAAGTTATTTTAACTTTCAAAGTAGTATTAATGAAATAACAATGAGGGGGGAGTTTGTTTGTTTTTTTTTCAGAAAAATATCGTTAGGTTTTGAAAACATTATAATCTGGTTATCAGGCATTCATGTATTTCCTTGAATTATTAATCGATTTATAAAATTATTAAATAAACGGAAAAGCTTTTATTGCCTAATTTTGTCTTTATCTTGTTAGCGAAAAGCGTCGATTTAAAATGCGGATTTTTATTTTTAACTGAAGGAATAGTTGTAGTAAGCACGCATAATTCCATTATATTTAAGTTTAGAAAAGCATAGAGTTCCAAGAACCCATTTTATGGCAGAGTTATTAAATTTTTTTGTTCAAAAAGAGAACTTGTTGTTGCTGAATTATTTTAATATTAACTCTCATGATTCATCTTGACAGAAAAGGGATTTTACGTACTTCATTTTAAATTACGGAGAATTGCGCGCACGCATCTTCCTTTTTTATTCGGTAACTTATTAATATTTTTGAATAACGTTTGTTTCATCTTATTCATTTATATGTCTGTATAAATTATTATCGGTTATGTTGTTGTAAATCGGACCTTTTATAAATGAGTTTCAAATTATTTATATGTAGTGTTGGACAAAATTGTTTTTATTCTAATTTATTAAATTATTAATGCATTACCTCTGCTACTAAGAAAACATATTTTCTGAAAATACAGAAATTTAGTTTAAAATGAAGGATACGGCTGCGTATATTAATGAGATTATATTTCACTTCATTTTATTAACTTTAGTGTGGAATTTTTTTTACCTCGTTTATCCTCTAATTAAAATCAAGAACCTGACAACCTTTGCTCTTTTGAAAAAGAATTTTCTGAAGTGTTAATTAAGTGATAATTAAAAAAAATCAGTTTTTTTTTGTTTCGTAAGAGCATAAACACACGATTGAATCAATGTTACTAAATATCCGTTACTTTCGTGGAATATTTTCCTTTTAATATTAAAAGTAAGCCGAGCAGACTGTGTAGGGGTCAGGTAACTGCCCTTGCATCAGAAAGGTTCTGGGTTCGAATCCCGGGCAAGGCATGGATGCTCTGTACTATCTGTCCTCAGTGTGGGAACGACGTTGGCCCACCTAATAGGGTGCCCCTGAAAGAGAGGCCAACAAAATCGCCCTTTAAATGCCTGAATTGATGGATGTTAACAAAGGTGGGCATTGGAAGAAAAAAAATATTTAAAGTAATAATAAAATGTGCATTTTAATTTTTCTTTATTCTTAACAAGATTAGATATAATGATTTTGACTACGGCTCGCTTGAATAATTTTAATAAAATATATAATATATAAAGCCTTTAAATAATTAAAATAGTTTTTGATTATAATTTTCAAAGCAAGCTACAATGCTTCCACTACTTGGAATTTTAAGCAGAAATAGCAGAAAACGGCAAACGTATTCAAACCACTAAAGCTACACTTTTAATAATATTTGTAACATTTCATTTTCATCAGTAAATGGTAGTAAAACATAAAAGTGGTTATATAAAGTAGTAGTAGTGGAAATATTTTAAGTGGTAGTAAAACATAAAATTTGTTTTTTATATCTTGAATTTATGAATTAAATTTTAAAGGATTTCGACACATAAGATATAAACAAACATAGAAATGCATGATAACTTTACGTTACGTTTGGCTAAATCAAATCAAAATATTTACTTATGCCTGCAATTATAATTTATATTTCTTGTCACTATTTTTTAAGAAAATCACTTTGTAAGAAGAAAATGTTGGCAAGTTTGTGTTTGTAAATATTACACAATTTTATGTATCCTTTCTTTCTTCGTTCTTTATTTATAAAAAATTGGGCACCTGGGCCGCGCAGAAGGCCCCTATCCCATACGTCATGAAATGGAATAAAAAGTTAAAATAAAAGACAGTTTGAGTTCAGCAGTCTATGGGGAGGCTGTTACAGCTTATGTATCCGTAATTCAGCAACTATATATACTACGGCAAAAATGTCAACCTGCTCCGCTTAGTAAAAAAATATCTTCTAGTGGTAACGTAATTTAAATTATTTTCAGTTTTGTATTTTCCGTTTTAAGTAATTTCATCACCACTACATAGCAAAAATTCGAAGTATGAAATGAAATGTAACTTTACATCCTAATAAGCCAACTGCGACGTTATGCTTACATTTTAAAAATGTCACCAAGAGAAATCTGCAATAAAGTTTTATTTCTTATGACACTTGGAATTTTTGACATGCAGTGGTGGAAAAGTAACTTAGGATAAAAAAATACTAAACTAAAAATTACTTAAATTTCGTTACCACTAGAAAGTATTCTTTCACAAAGCGGGGCAAGTTGGAATTCTTGTATTTACCTCGTAGTTATTTTTTTAAAGAGTGTGCGCAATTATCCTTATTTAATTTATTAAAACTTTTGTGAAAAGCGGAGCAGTTGGCATCCCTGTCATACGGTTCTTTTTTATATGGAGTGATGAAAAAATTACTTAAAATGAGAGATGCTAAACTTTAAATAGCTTAAATTTCGTAACCACTAGAAAACGTTTTTTTACAAAGTGGAGCAAGTTGAGAGATTCTCCTTAGAAACTAAAAGAATTTTGTTCACCAGTCAAGAGTAATTGAAGCACATTAACCTCATATATGTGTATAAGCTTGCATAGGTATAGTTTTAGTCTCTGTTAATTTATCCTTCTGCGTAATGGTGGTTAAAATCGTTCTAAATTTAATTTACAAATACAAGACCCTCCAATTGTTGAGTTTTGAGAAAATATATTTCTTAGTGGTAGAGATTTAAATCAGAAATTTTTAAAACATACAGCCTTGTTTTTAAAAAAAGCATATGCAGGGACGCTCCGCTTTCTGCAAAAGTTTTAATAAATTGGTAGCGAATTAAATAGTAAAAATTGTACAATAAGACCCACTGTTTATAAGTTTCACCAACTGCAATAAAACATCAGAGATACCAACTTGCTCCGCTTTTCTAATGGTAACGAAATTTAAGTTATTTTTAGTTTATTATTTTTCGTTTTATGTAATTTTTTTCACCAATACATTTCGAAAATTCAAAGTCTCATATGAAATACAATTTTATTGCAGTTATTTCGTGGTGACTGCTTTGTAGAGGGCGTAAATATTTTAAGTCAACAAGTTTTAGTATTTAGTTCGCTACCAATTTGTTAAAATTTCTGCAGAAAGAGAGACAGTTGACATCTGATCTATTCTGATCTTGTTTTATGAACTGGGCCACGCAGCAGCCCCTATCCCATCTATCGTGTATTATTTATAATTGTATAAGTTCTCTGAGATCAGCAGACTATGTGGTAGCTGTCAAGGGGCAGTTGACATCTGTCATCAGAACCTGTCATTCTGTTCTTTGAATTTTTTATATGGAACGGTGAAAAAATTACTTAAAATGAGAAATACTTTACAATAAAAAGCTTAAATTTCGTAACCACTAGAAAATGTTTTATTACAAAGGGGAGCAAGTTGTCATTTTTGCATTTGAGAAAAAACATTAATGAATAATATATTCATAATATAAAATATTTTAAGCTTTTATATATCTGTTTAAATTATTTCGGTACATTTGTGAAGGAAAATCCTTTCATTCTAATTTATTGAAGTAATAGTTAGCCATTTTTTACACTGGGAAATTGTTTTTTCAAAAACAGCGGAAATTCCAGTGAAGTTTGAGCGTATGAAACAGAACAGCATAAGTTTTGCTACCACTTTAAGTATAAAAATAAATTCATCCACAAAATCCGAAGGAAATGGCTGATATGAAAATGTATCTATTCCAATATTATCTAATGTTATTGACTTATTTAAATTGTTTTCATTTTTAGCTCAATTTCGCATTTTTGTGTAATATTATTCGTGTCCTTGTGACGAAACTTCGAGCTACGCACACTAATGAACCTAGTCAATTTAGGTAAGTTATAGGCTACTAGTGTACTTGAGTATCTTTCATATGTATTTACTAAAATGTTTTCAACCAATACAGCGTTACGAATAAGCTATGCTCGATCACCCAAACTAGTGCAAAAGCGTCGCGAGAAAAAATTTCCTTAGTCTGGTCATATTCTATAGAAAATGGCATTCAATAATGTTAGTCTTAGATTTTTCTAACACTGAATTGGTTAAATTTTAATTTCAAAGCAACTTATGAACTTTTAACTGTGCACATTCACCATTTATTTCTCTTATAATAAGAGCTGTTTCTCTACTAAGTAGGCGGTTCGTTTCAATTAGAAATAAATAAAACACTCCCTTAAGTTTTCAAATATTTATTACCAGAATCTTCCAGAAAATAGAGATATTTCTAGCACTTAATTACAGCTCAAATAACAGTGCACACACACAAGCTTTTAACCTCAGATGGTTTAATGAACTTACACGTAAATGCAATCGACACTATTGCAATCACAAACAGACTAACAATCCCTCTACAGCCTCTCCTTAAACTTGATCTGAGTATGTATTTGGTATCGTAGGTAGTAGAGCGACTTTATTAATAGCAGTAGGTAGCGGATCGTAGAGCGACTATATTAATAACAGTAGGTAACAGATCGTAGGGCGACTGTCTTAATAGCAGTAGGTAGCAGATCGTAAGGTGACTGTCTTAATGGCAGTAGGTAGCAGATCGTAGGGCGACTGTCTTAATGGCAGTAGGTAGCAGATCGTAGGGCGACTGTCTTAATAGCAATAGGTAGCAGATCGTAGGGCGACTGTCTTAATAGCAATAGATAGCAGATCGTAGGGCGACTGTCTTAATAGCAATAGGTAGCAGATCCTTGAGCGACTGTCTTAATAGCAGTAGATAGCAGATCGTAGGGCGACTCTATTAATAGCAGTAGGTAGCAGATCGCAAGGCCACTCTATTAATAGCAGTAGGTAGAAGATAGTAGGCAGTAGGGCGACTCTATTAATAGCACTACGTAGTAGGACGACTGTATTTATAGCAGTGGGTAACAGATCGTAGGTAGTTTAGCGACTGTATTAATATCAGTAGGTAGTAGTGCAACTGTATTAATAGCAGTATGTACTAGATCGTAGAGACGCTGTATTAATAGCAGTAGGTAGAGAATCAGTATGCGAGAATTTGCAGAAGCAGATATTAAGTTTATACTTATTGTCTATCCTCAATCTGTGTTAAAGTTATGTATAAATATAAAGGGTGGAATACTTCAGAGTCAGGGATCGCCTATGGTCATTTCCCCTTTCTGGGAGTATCCCTACAAAAATTGGAAAGGGATTATTTATAATAACTGGAAAGCAAGGGCGGCTGTATTTGGTCCCAATAATCATACAAGCTTTTATCTCTTTTAAAATCTGTTAGCTGAAATAAAAAAAATTGCCAAGAATCAATTTTTTTAATTTAAAAAAAAGGTGCTAAATGGCAAAGCGGGTCATGAAATGCCGCTGGATAGGAAAATCTCGTCTGGGCATAAAATGGGTTGAATAAATTCAGGGTTAAACAATTTTGGTAGTCAAAACGAGACAGCACAATAAAGAAAGAAAAAGATAAAAAGAAAAAAACGAAGAAAATTTAAAAAATTAATAAGTTTTATTTACTGCGCATAAGCTGCCAGTATATAGAACTCATAAAATAAGTTCGAAATATCGAGGAAGCTTGGAAAATAATAAAGATTAATGAAAAGAGAAGAAAAAAATTATTAAAATAAAATATTTTAAAAANCTTGAAAATAAAAGTAGAACTCACTGGGATTGAGATGTTTCCCCGATGATCCCCCGCAGAAGACGGAGCACTTCTTCATTTTTGAGCAATTCCTGTAATTCTTTGATTAATGACACTAATCGATGAGCAAGTTTAGGCGTCGAATATGATGTTGTTCGAGGGCTCCTTCTGCTGGGACGGGTCTCGCACCCAGTATAGTTGGCTGTGTGGCTTTTGTAACAATTACAGCATTTTGGAGGTGTAGTTCTGTCTTTGTTGCATTCATGTGACCTGTGGTTTTCAGCACATTTTACACACCTTGCAGGTGCATTGCAGTGGCTTTGTGTATGTCCATAATTTTGGCAGTTGTAACATTGTATAGGTCCTCGACCTCCTCGAAATCGTTCGATTTTGATCGGGATCTGCTGTATGTTGTTGACTTCGAATATTCTTTGGTGATTCGCCGTTGATGTTAGGATTATGAGAAAAAGTGGAAGGAGCCGACAGGCCTCTCCCATTCTTTTCTTAAACTGCACAATTTTAAAGGTTTCAATACTGTTTTTCTGTAATTCTGTATTGATGGCATCTGTATCAAAGTCCACAGGCAGGCCCCGGACCAAAACCTTAATATATCTGGCTTGCAGTGTTATTTCAGGTTTGCTGGGCGGATCCCGTACTTTGTCGGTATCCTCCTTAGGTTTTGTTGTCGGCAAGATAGTGACGTCATGTGTTGAGTTATGTTGGCTAGAAGAAGGACAGCTGTTTGTAGACATGAGTGTAGAGTTATCTACAATTGTTTTGACTGAATTTTGCTTTTTTTTCTTCTTTTTTCTTTTCTTTACTGGTGGTTCTGTATTATTGTTAATATTGATGTCCGTGTCAGTTTCTGTATTTGGTGTTGTATTCAGGTTTTCATCTTTATTTTCCATGGTTATGTCGCCAGTGCTTGGATTAGTTTCAGTCATTATTGCCTCTTCGGTTTCCAATTATTCGGCTTCCTGGGAAGATTTTATCTTCCTATTTAAAGTGGTAGTGAAATTTATGTTAATACATTAAACTTTTTGCACTGTAATAATAATTATAAATGAGTTTCACCACTACTACATATAAACCAAACCAAATATGTATAATCCATTTACACCAAATATGTAAAAGCATGATAGACTTCACGATAGCAAACTTCCACCTCGTCAATATATAAATATAGTTTTGAATAAAATTATTTTCTTGGTACTTTTTATAGTACCGCTTGGAAAATCCATTCTAGGGAAGAGTTGGCAGGTACGCACATGCATACCCTCCAACTGCTACGAAATTTCCGTAGTTTCAGAAATCTTCTTTTCAGACGGTAGCAAAATTAATGTCTTAATATTTAAAAAGAATTAATTTTAGCGCAACTTGTCCACTATTACTTATAAAAGTGCAGGCCATATGGCTAGATTCTTAAGTTCTGATAAAAGTTTTAGGAGAGATCCATTTGCTTTAAAAATTTCTACTTTGGTTCGCTACCACTAGAAAGAATTATTTTCAAAATCTTCATAAGTTGGAGGGTATGCCTGGGTATGCAATCACTTTCAATAGTGAACTGACGACAAAATACTAGAGTATGTTGCCAATATTTTTCTATTTAACCGGTTAACGCCCAGCGTCATATATTTAGGACAGTTCCTTTTTTCAAAAACATTCATTGTGGTGGAAAACTTTTTTTCAGGATTTTCATTTATCTGGGTGAATTAAAAGATTCACAGATACCACAATGATTTAGTTATTTCTGACTAGATCTAGAATTATAAAGAGCAAGTACTTTTATATCAATCAAAGACTTTTTGAAAGCCTTAACAGTAGAAAAACAATTCATTTCGATAATATATTATGCCAGTTTTTCCATAAAACCACTTTTTGTATCATTTCAATTTATAAATTCGGAACAAAACGGATTAAATAGATTTTTATGAATCACCACTTTTTAGTCGCCTTTGGCATTTGATTTTTACGGATCATCTGGTAGTCGGAGGCAGCTAATTTATGATAAAAAAATAGTTTCACTTAAAATAGTTTAAAAACAGTTTAACTACTTGAAACTACGCTGATAAAATATTTGTGTATAATTTTAAAAAAGTAATTCTGTCCTAATAGGTGTTAGCTTATGATGCAAAAAGTGAGATAAAATTATTCCACTCGTTTTCTTCTTCATTCAATACATAAACAGCATTTTGAAATACTAAAAATAGTTTTGCGCTTTATTCTTCATCGCATTTCGATTTCTGAAATGGATCCCTATTATAATTTTTTACTTCTGTAATCTAAATTTAATGACTTCTCGTGTTTCAGCAATAAAAAGAAATCTTTTTTTAAAAAAATTGTACTCCCCAATTTTTATTAAGTAAAAATAAATTCTTTTTTATTCGATTTTTTGTGAAGTGAAAGGTATATTTCTATGGGCTCAAAATTTTTCATTGCTTATAAAAATATTTTTGGGCCATTAAAAAATAGTTTTGTAACAACTTTTACAAAGAAAAAAAAGGAAACCGATACACGACCTTTGATAGCTTTCTTTTCATTGACCAGCATGAAAAAAAAAGGGTAAGTTAAAACTAACCAACATCCCTCTATCGATTTTGAACTTTTATTTCGACCCATTATTTTTGTTCGCAGATTCTTTTAAAGAATTAGTGAAAGAGAAATTATGTTTAACCGAGGGTTGTCAATAGTCCGAAAATTTCCGGGAAATATTAGCACGTTTCTGGGGTATCGTGTTGAAATTTTTACAAACCATACTAAAGTGTAAAACATGGTTGCAAAACTACTTTTTTCCGCTCCATTTTTCAAAGAGTTTTCGTGATTACTACAAGCATAAATGATCCAGCATATTTGTAATCATTACTACAATCGCTCGTCATAGTTTTTTTTTCCAAATTGAAGTTGTACTGACAATGTCAATTTTTCTTCAACTCTTATGAAATCTTGCCTACAACTTTTTTTTATAATTTTGATCTATAACAACTGCAATACATTTTTTGGAAAATTGCCGCCAAGCAATGTGCTAAAAAATTGTAAAATAGTTGTGTGAAAATTTTAATGTTTACCTTTATTACAAAATAATGAAACTAGTCATATGATTACTACTTTTTATGAATCTCTAGAACTTTTTAATATTCTTGTTAAAAGTTCAATATTATAATTGTTACTTAATCACTTATCACTATTCATTAAATTATTTTAAATCGAACTTGTTAAATTAATAAAATATCTAATTAATTTTTTCGAAATAATTCTTCGATAAAAGTGTTTTTTCATGATTACTAATCCAGCAAACATAAAGATAAAATGATTTCGTATAAAATTATTGGGGTAGCTAATAATTGAAAACAATTTAATTAAATCAGTAATGTTCCTCCACTTTTTTATAAAAGCACTTTTCATGGCTTAAGTACATTTTTTAATAATTAACAACTGATATGTACGCCTTTTCATTTATAGCTCTTTGAAATAGATTCGAAACTAATTCTATTACTTATAATTACATTGAAAACTATTTTTTAAGAATTTTATACAAACTCAACGAAGGATATGGCATAGTTATGATTTTATTATTATTTATAAATTAGTAGTCAGTTTATACTTTTCATACGTTAAAGGCAAATTTATTTTTCAAGTCACATTGATCCATTTTCATATCATTACCACTTGGAAAAACTGTCTTTGGAAATATAAAATATTTGCAGATAAGATATCAAAGTTAAATTATTGTGATCGATTTTTTTGCACGTTCACAACTGAAAAATCTGTAGATTAACATTTTTTACCTCCGTTGACAATTTGCTTCACTTTAAAATAGATGATATATTATAATTTGAGGGGATTTATCCTTGTTCGACCAATTTTTGCTCGAAACGGAACAGCCACCACGTTTATTATGCAATTGCTCTTTATTAATTTTTGTGAATATTTTTAATTCAATAGTTGTTCATCAATTATGTCTTTCATATTTTAAAAATCAATTAATGTACATATTAAATCCTGTTTTATCTTTATTTTTAATTTAAGTCTACCATCAATATTTCCAACGTTATGTAAAAACGTCAATTTGTCAGATTGAATTTTTTCATTGCTTTATTATTTCACAAGCAAACGGCTTGATTATTTTTATGACTACCACAATGTTTGCCAAATCAATGTATTTTACCTTACTGTATGTAATTTAATGATGAATGGGTGCCCAGTTTATTTAAATAAATAAAGAAACAAAGAATTCTATAGTTGTTATGTTAAAATTAATAAAATATAAATTAAAAGTGGTACAATTGTAAAAATAAAAGAGACATTATAATCTATCTTATTAAATATAGGCACTTTAAATCGAATANTATGGCTACCACAATGTTTGCCAAATCAATGTATTTTACCTTACTGTATGTAATTTAATGATGAATGGGATAGGTGCCCAGTTTATTTAAATAAATAAAGAAAGAAAGAATTCTATAGTTGTTAAAATTAATAAAATATAAATTAAAAGTTAAAAATAAAAGTGGTACAATTGTAAAAATAAAAAAGACATTATAATCTATTTTATTAAATATAGGCACTTTAAATCGAATAGAAATTCTCATTTTTAAGTTTACTTATAAGTAAAAATATTGTCTTGTTATAGAATCTCTGATATGACTCACTACTTCGGAATTTTTCAATGATATAAGAAATATTTCACCATTGTTTAAAATTTTAACAATGCGATTGGTTTTCTTTCTTCCCAATACGAAGTTAGAGATCATTTGTAGTGCCCCCCTTATATCCCCTCTTGAAATCCTAGTTTTCTTTTAGAATTGTTCAATGTAAAAGAAACGAGACATTTGAAAGAAGAAACAAATAAGGAAGCCAGCCTGCTCTGCTTTGTGAAAACAATTTTTTTTTTTAGTTTTAACGTAATTTAAGTTATTTTTAGTGTTGTATTTTTTTTAAGTGATTTTACCATCACTACATATCATGAATTCAGAGTATCACATCAAATGCTACTTTACTATGATGGACACTCTTAAAAAGTAATTATACTTATGCAGCAAGTTTCACTAGACTCAAATTTTAATAAGTAGCAAGTCTGCCAACTTTCTCCGATTTTTGAAAAAAAATTTCTAGTGGTTTATGCTTTAATGTATTATTCTTTCTTTAAAAATTTAATTTTACGTTACTTTTTCAATCACTACTTAAATATGATTTGAAAGTTTATAAAAAAACTACTCGTCAAATTTTCTATTAGCCTCGGGGTCTGATCAGGGGTAAGCTAATCCCTGTAACTTAAGTGTAGAGAGCAACCCGAAACGAGTGGTAATTACCAGGACGGCCGGGTCTCTACTTTAACAGCGCCACACATTCCTTTAACACGCCCCCCCCCCTTTTTTCTATGTATTCCCAAACAGTAAATATTTATCAGTGTTTATCTTCTCATTGTACTTTACTTTTACCTTTTCTCGTGTGCTTTTTAATTACTTGTAATTTTGTTATTACCTAATAATAATGCAAAGTGCAATATTTTTTTCCTCTCACGTGAACTCCATTTTGCTCTCCAAACTTAATTTTTGTCATGTATGTTTCTTAGTCTAATTTTAGGATGAATGGGAAAAGGGCCGCGTAAGGCCTCTGACGCCTAGTTCCACTACAACGAACGAACGAATTTTCTATTGGTTAGGCTTTCAATGTATGATAGGAAAATTATAAATATTTCTTAAACTATTGTTTTTAATTGTCTCGATAAAATAATTTGTAAAACGCGTAGTAGTTGGAAACCCTGAAATTGTGATATAAGTGAAAATTCGCTCCCAATTTATTAAAATTTTTCTTAATTTATTTCCATCCCTGCAAATATAAGATTAATGAATAAAGTTACATTACAAAGCTCTTAAGCGTGATGTAAGCATTTTCTTCGCTATCACATACAATTGATTCAAAAGTTCACGCCACTTGCAACTCGATCTCTCGTGGAGAGGCCTTTAAAATATTGGCAAAATTACCAAAAACTTTGAGAGTTTTGAAAGGTTTACCACTCTATGAAATATTTAGCAAAAAGCATAATTGTTGTCAGACCTGATTTTGTATCTTCCAGATATACTTAAGTTGGTAACTGTGGGACGTAGCGAATTAGAAAATATCGATAAGCTGGGCTTTGTGAAAGAAGGTTCAAATTAACTCTACTGGATATCGATGTATGGAAGAATGCCACCGCCGACTATAATGTAAAAAGTGGTTGAAACTCAAATCATTTTTGTTTATTTATTATCTCTTTCAATTATTCAATCGGAACTACCGCTTACATTACAAATTATGTATATTTGTAGCAAAAACATTCTTTGCATTCAATTTCCATAACAACTAAAAAGAAATATGCCATAATAAGTTGCTAATTTTAATTTCTTTTAATTACAATTTGAATTTTATGAATGAGGTCTTTTTGCAATTTTAGTCGCCTTTGGCAACCCTGTGAAGTTGCACATGAACCCTCTGGCATTAGTCAGTTTTTGTAGAATCTAATTTTGGTATCATGCCGATTTTTAAAATAGGTTCTATATTGCACCATGCACAGACAATGCTTACAATAGGATTATTATTGTGGATGTGTTACCATGAATGACCAAAATCAAGAGAATGTCGACTTTTACCAGTGAATGTCGACAACCACATTGTCGCTTTGAGGAATGTCCGAAATATTTGTAATATCCGATTTGATATTAAATATTAATATTATTATATTTATTCGATATTTTAATATCTGCTGAGGATAGATTAGGAGAAACATCAGTGTTCAAAGTACCGGTTAAACACATACTGGACACATGACCTTAAAAAAACATTCATAGAGGGCATACCGGGCAAGTGTATACCGGGCAGTGGCACTTAACTAGACCTAGTATATACTCGTATTTCGGACTTTTACCAAAGAGACTGCGTGCTTGTCAGCATTCACCGGTGGAAGTCAGCAACCACCCAGATCGATCATTCGTAGTAACCTATATATAAAGAAACCTTTTTAGTTTCAACTCCAAATTAAGTCTAAACAGGATATTTTGAAGTATAATAGCTGCTTTGACTACAATTTTGGAAACGTGATCATCCCATTTAAATTTACATACAATCCATACAAAACTACTTCTCCTGTTTTAAAGAGAATTTTTTTTAAGGCGCTGACTAATTAACAATATACAAATTTATTTTTGACTAGTTAACCCGTTTTGTCCCGGATTTATATACTGAAATGATACAAAAAGTGGTTTTATATATTATCGAAAAGTGGTTTTATATATTATAGAAAAAGTGGTATAATATATTATCGAAATTCATTGGTTTTTCTACTGTTAGGGCAATCAANTCGACGTTCACCGGTGAATATCGACAATCACATAGTCGCTTTAATGAATGTCCGAAATATTTGTAATATCCGATTTGATATTAAAGATTAATATTATTATATTTATTCGATATTTTAATATCTGCTGAGGATAGATTAGGAGAAACATCAGTGTTAAGAATACCGGTTAAACACATACTGGACACTGCGTGCTTGTTAACATTCACCGGAGGAAGTCAGCAACCACCTATTTCGGTCATTCGCAGTAACATATATATAAAGAAACCTTGTTAGTTTCAACTCCAAATTAAGTCTAACCAGGATATTTTGAAGTATAATAGCTGCTGCATGTGCTTTGACTACAATTTTAGAGACGTTACAATCCCATTTAAATTTTCATACAATCCATACAAAACTACTTCTCCCGTTTTAAAGAGAATTTTTTTAAGGCGCTGATGAATTAACAATATACAAATTTATTTTTGACTAGTTAAATGAACGTTCTTCGTAACGGGTGGAAAAAATTCAAATGATTAATAAATCGGAATTTACATTGCATTAAGGGATCATCACGCCCGGTGGCTGAGCGGAAGCGCTTCGCGCTGTCGTGCCACAAGTCCCTGGTTCGATCCTCGGGCCGGGCAAGGTTGACTCAGCCTTTCATCCCTTCAGTGGGTCGATAAATGAGTACCAAGCATGCTTGGGAACTAAACACTGGGGGTTCCGCGTTCGGTTGACCACCTGACCGGAACATCTGCTTCTGCACCCCAGAGCCCAAGGTCAAGAAAACTGAGATGGGCACAGTAGGCTTTAGCCCTCTAGGGCTGTCACGCCACTGAGGTTAGAGAGTTTAGTTTTAATAAATCAGTATTGATCAGCCCTATGAAATCATGCACAAAATTGAAAGACATGTATCGCTCATTAATTAAGCTGAAATAATTCCATTCTTTTTTTTTTTTTAATTTTAATTATTTGTTGCCCTTCCCGGTGACTTTATGCTATCAGACAAAGCAAATTATGTTTTTAGAAGTCGAACCCTTCAAAATCAAAATAATTAAATTCAGTATCACTTGGCTATTCTTCGAGGTCAAACATTACCATAACAACTTTCTCCTGTACAGTGCGTCAAAAGAAAACGGACCACCCTGAATAACTTTTGATCTACACTACATGTTCTAGGACTCAATGCTAATAGTTCGAGGAAGTGACCTCAAATATGCTAATTAATTAGTCCAGACGATATTTTATGTGACGATTTCTGTCCCCCAAAATATAGGGGATATCTGAGAAATAGGTTCCCCATACAGGAGAGAGATCCAAAGTTTGTTCCCTTTAATGCTAATTTTACTTTTTGCGTATCTTGCTATACCTCGAAAACTTTTTAAGCGAATTGAAACATTTTTGAACGCAATTACAAAATTAAATTACCTAAAGATAATTTCGTGATAGTCGAAAAAATTTAGAATTCTAAGGTACATAATTTTTTGCATCATTTTAAAGTATGAACAGTTCATGAGAAATCGAATTTTAAAGAAGTCGTATGCATAAAATTCAATTTCTCAGTATTCTTAATTCGCGTGTTTGAGGTCAGCCCCCTTGAAACATTAAAAATTGAGACCTAAAAAGTGAAGATCCAATCGTTAGATCAAAAGTTATTAAGTATCTGTAAACAAATAAGAATCGGAATAAAATCAGTTAAACTAGATAGTATCGTGAAAACGAAAATGACATTCGAAGAGCATAATGAATAGATCAGTTCCATGACATGGTTTTTTTGAAGCGCTCGCGCCATGATGTTCAGATGATACGCTGGCGAACAAACGGTTCTACCGTTAAAACGTTTAATCGGTTTTAATTTTAAGAAAAAATTTTAACTTTTTCAACTTTTTGTTAAAAACAAGCGATCTTGTGTTAAATTAAAATGTTCTTAAAACAAACTTTTCGTTTTAATACAAAATGTAAGCTACACCGACATAATTTTTTTTGTAACTTTTTCTTCAAAATAAATATTTATATGAAATATACATTTAGAAATTGAGAATTTGATTGGTGCATTTTAAGCTGAGCGATGAAATCAGATTCAGTAAGAATGTTCCCTAAGTTTTTAAAGAATCGCGAATTGTTTTTTATAATTTTTCAGTTTTAAACTTTTTTCATTATAGTTTGTTTTTCTGCTAGAATTATTAAAAAAAATTGGATAAATAACGAGTAACGACGTAACGTGAAAACTATGAACTGGATCGTTCGAAAAGTAAACCGTTAACAATAGTTTAGCTTTTCAATAGTTGAAAGAATTTGGAGCGAGACCAATGTTTCGCATTATTTTCCTTTTTAATGATTCGGTTTCAAAATCTATAATAAAAGTCTTCTGATTAGATGACTAAGTTTGATTTTCTTTTCTTATTTTAGGGTTTTGTTGTTTCTTTAATATTCTGCTATTTAAATGGTGAGGTAAGTACATATGATTATATTTTCAAAAAGTTTATTTTTAATCACTGCTTTTATTCTAAATCTTTGTCATAATGCTCTGAATGAACAATGTCCACAGCTTATGACAGGGTTCTCATTCGGCTTAAAAATATGTAATGACGCTATCAGTTTTTTTTTTCTTTTTTTCTGACTGAAAATTCATCTCTGACTGTAGATTTTGAAGAAAAAGTAACCTATGTAATAAACAACACTAAAAGATTGGCATTACGTACTTAATCTATTTTACCTTGCGGACTGCTCTACAGACCGCAGGAGTGCAACTACACAAGTGAAAATTGACGTGCTGAAAGGGATATTTTCTTCAATGGACCATCCAAACACAATTTTATTTGAATGGTTGTGGTGTTTTTTTCCCGTTTAGTCTGCACTATTAGATTTTTCTAAGCCAAATAGGTGCCCTGGGTAAGAAAACAAAACGTGGTTCTAACATTATTGAGTACGATCAAAGTCATATTTTAAAACCATTTTTTGGGGGTTTTATCGAATAAATATTTCTTCAGAAATCTGTGAGAAAACACGATTTCGAAACATTTATAAATTATGATATTTTCACTTAGTTTAAAACTCCAAAATTTGTTATTGTTGCTTGAAGCCCCGAATATGTTTTTTTTTTAAAAAAAGACATTAACATACTCTGTATTATTTTTTTAAACTGTTTATTTTGCGCCAAACTTAAACTTTAAAGAATGATTTAAAAAAAATAACGAAAAAGGAAAAACCAAATTTTATAGCAGTTAAATAAGAAATAAAAGTTCTTAAGGGGGCATTTTTTAGGTTTTTCATAATTTTTTATTAGAAAATTTAGTGTATGGAACTACTGGCATTCTACTTAATCTAATAATTAAAACCAGGTAATAAAAACATTTCCTACCTATCTGTAATTCAGAAGCAGTAAGCTGCTCATTACTATCACTGCTTATTAATGTTTATAAAACATATTTATTTATAAGAAACTGACTTATAGAAACACTGCAGAATAAAAGTCGAGGAAATCAGTGTAAGAAAATGCACTGGCCGAGCGGGGTATGGGGTTTAAGATTTGTTTATTTTAATAACCCACAGCGGAGAAGGTCTACAACCTATAAAGATAGAGAATTGCACTAAACCCGAAAGGAATTGCAATCTCCATGAGGATTGAGAATTCCACTACAATTCATACTGCTTCAGAAGCTTTCCTGTTATAGACTGTTTGTTGAAAAGCAATTAAACCAGTTTTTTTACTTATCGGCAGAATCTTATTTTTAAACTAATTTTATGTTTTCTAATAAATATTATCGAAACCTGCATTCAAATAAACCCAGTTTAGGATATTTTATCGTTGCTTGCTGACTTGGCGTCTAACTTGCAGAGCTCGCCAATTCGGCTATCTAATCAGTAAACAATATTAAAACAGCTATTTTCGGGCCAATATAAATGTAGTTTTGACAATCATTAATAAGAGAACATAAATATAATTCAAATTGGATAAATAAGACTGTCAGCTCAAATGTGCGCGCACAGCCAGTCCATTAAAAGGATATTTTCGGCTGCTGGTTACTGTGCAATTTCTCAATCCTTATGGAGTGTCCTACCTCCCTTTAAAATTTGTACTTGGAGTTCAAAAGGAACTTTTGTATTACGTGACTCATTTAGTTTTATCATTTAAATGTTTAAGTATATTTTAATTTAAAATAAATTCATTTAATTTAATTTTAATTTAAATTACAATTTAAATTAATTTATTTTAATTTTAATTAATTTAATTTAATCAAAAAGATTCAAGGCCTGATTCGACGATCACTCCAAAGAATACGTCTGCAGAGGAGTCTGACTTCAACTTCCGAATGGCGACGTTCGACTCGTTCAGAACCTTTGAGCAAAATCGTTGCACCCCGTGGAAGACGTGGAGCTGTGAGACCTTTTCTTTATGTGAAACAGTACGTGCATGTTCCATGTAATGCATGTTGGTACGCAGCATACTATACGAAGAATATTTGTACTATAAATAGTGCTGGATATCTTAAATTTGACTGTCGGTTTTCAAAAATTTAAAACAGAAAAATTGTTTAAGTTAAAAAATTTTAAAAAAATGTGACGTTAAATTTGAAAGAAAAAAAATACGCTAAATTAAAGTGACAGGACATAAATTTTTTATCCTAGAGTTTCTGGTTTTAGGTTGAAAATTTTTCTGACAAATGGCAGATAATAAAAAAAATATAGGAAAATCACAACACAATTATTTGAAATTTCTTAATGAAAGCAAGTCTCATTATAATTATTTTGAAATATCCTCCATCAACTGCAGTCACATATCGGGATATAGCGCTTGTAAGAAAAAAATCACTCTTATGAATTCTCGGAGATTTCACTTTCAAATGCATACTGAGCATGAATGCTTATCAAATCTGAACATTTTTGTTTCTAATTTTAGTAAAACTATATGATTCTGTATAAACAAATAGGCGCTTGATTCATACATTAAAACCGAAATGGTACATTGTAGTCTCTCTACCTGAAGCCGGGATAGCCTGGCTGGTACGGCGTTGGGCCCTTCAGAGATTTGATACTCGTAGGCCGAAAACTCCCCGTGTACAAAATGTCAAGGTGATCGCTAAATCTTTCGGGGTCACCAAGTCCTCCAAGTTCCCATTACAAATCAATGCCTCGGGATTAATGTACTGGATTTGAGATTCATCGTGCTCTGGTTCAGGTCAAAATTACGATCTGTGACGTGTGTGGGAAAGTGTCCTCCTTATAAAATGTCACGTGACGTATGCATGTTTTCTCAGGATTATCTTCAGGGATGTTTCCCAGGCCGTCGCCAATAGCCATTGTGAAGCTCTAGTGCAACGTAAATAAAAGTACCTGTCTACCTAAAGAACTCCTACCGCCATTGAGTCTAGGGTTGACTGCTGCAACGAATACGAGATAAAGATGATTTCAAAGCTTTTAATACTTCTCTCATCGACCACTGGAAGAAACTTGTCCAGCCCCACCACCCTACTTGAACCACACCCACCTCCAGTGAGAGAGAAGACCTTCCTCATATAGTTACACTATCTGTGACAATTTTGTTAGAGAAAATTCACCACGTTTCTAGTGAATTATCAGATATCTTGCTTCCTTATGCATTTAGAGATACATAACTGTGGGAAATAAATAAAGTTTTTGTCGCAAAAATGTTGCCAAAGTCGTGGAGATCACCTGGTTAGCAATGGTACCATTCTCACGTCATTTCTCTGTTTGTAAATAGTTGCTGTTATGGCCACACTAAAATGCGGAATTTTGGAAATGGGTCCATGACAAACGAAGAAAAATAAAATTGCGTATCCATTATTTGCAGCGAATCACATGCAAAGGAAACCATATTTTCATTTAAAGGACATTTTTTTATGTATTTTTTAAACGCAGTGGACTGATCGTAAAGATCCCAGTAGAAAGCCAAAGTCAAGCTTCACTGCGGTCAGTAAGCGGATGTGTGATCACTTTGATCAGCCTTCGTAGGTACCGAGGGTGCGCGGTATCGGTCCTCGTTAAACTGTTCTACCGTAAAGTGCCCCACTTCGTGCTCAGGTGGTCGGAGGTTACAAAAGCAAGGGAGCCATCCCTTCTGCAGAGGATCCAAAATTGCGATGGTATGTCTTCCGATCATCCTCAGGGAAGTTTCCTAGACCGTCGCCAATAGCCCATTGTACAGTTCTAGTGCGAAGTAAAACAAAGTACCTATCTTTTTACTGTGGGGGGGGGAGGATAATTTTTCTTTAGTTCATATGCTTACTATTTGTGGTGCCATTTTTTGAAAAATTATTAAACTAAAATCAAGAAGTCTGTGAGAAAAAACGTATGCCTCACCCACGAATTTACTGCAAGAATTTTTTTAATTATTATTTTCATTTCAACAGCGTATGAAATTTTTCAGAAAGAACCGTCAGTCTAATTTAAGACATCTTGCATTTTCTTCAGAATTATTAATGCTTAAATTACTATTAAATGCTGGCTGATATTTAAGACATATAAATTTTTCTAACATCATTAAAGTACAAATTTGATTTATATTTTATGCTGAGTACTGCTTTCCATAGCCTTTTTTTTAGTTGCTAATTTGTTTGCATGAATATCATATGTGCCGATGGTGTTTCTTGCATGGCATTTGAATGAACTAAATTGTTGTGTAAGCGTTTGTTGTGTTGTGTAATTGTTTGTTGTGTCAGTGTGTCGTCATATATTAATAAATTATTGTTTTATGTTTAACATTTAATTTAGTACATTTAATAGTGTTAACACTAAATGGCCTGAAATATCATTTGAAAAATCAAGTTAAGAAAAGTAATGATATGTATGAATGTGTTTCGTTTAAAAATCTTGTTAAGTTTCTCACTGAGTTGAATGATACTAAACACGAGTCAATAGTCTGGAGCAGTTGAATATTTGCAATAGTCCTATGTTATGTATAAAAAGTATTACTTTTGATATTTATTTAATTACACTTTGTACGTTGCTATGCAGTGACTATCTGGGCACGTGAGATATAATTTCCGATTCAGTTTTTTTATGCAAAGTTGAATGATATTAAACACAAATCAATAGGCTTCAGCTGCTGAAAATTTGCACAGGTTTTATAGATAAAAAGTATTTTTTTATTTATATATATTTACGTACCATTTGTACATTGATACTTACAAGGGAAACTAGGGAAGTGTGACTCACAAATTTTGAAATAAACTAGTGGGGTGTATGCCTTATGAAGAATAATTTTAGGGGGCAACATTCGTTTCGGCCCATAGAAGGTCCCGTGAGAGATAAAAATAATTCTATATATAGAAAAATCGGTATTTTATTACTTCAATGCAGACTATTAGTTATTGTAACTGTCTCATACTCCAATTAATTTGTAATTAATTGGTTAATTAATTAATTTGCTAATTAATAAATTAATTAGCAAATTAATTAATTAATAATTATTAATTAATTGATTTGCAATTACATACTCCAATTAATTTGGAAACTTTTTTGAAGAGAAAAAGTTAAAAAAATTTGATGTCAATTTTTTTTTTAAATTAACCTAATATGTTCTTCTGAAAAACTACAGATATATAAAATTTTCGAAATCAATTTTGACAATAAATATGCATTATATAGTACGCGAAAGTACCATAAAATTAATTGGAGTATGAGATAATTACAATAACTAATAGTCTGCATTGAAGTTATAAAATATCGATTTTTCTATATATTGAGTTATTTTTTATCTGTTTATCTTTTCATCTATTTTTTATCTATTATGGGCCGAAACGAATGTTGCCCCCTAAAATTATTCCTCATAAGGCATACATCCCACTAGTTTATTTCAAAATTGGCGAGTCACACTTCCCTAGTTTCCCTTGTTAGTGACTATCTGAGCGCGTGCGTCATCATTTTTGATTTTTTTTNTTTTTTTTTTTTTTTTTTTTTTTTTTTTTTTTTTTTTTTTTTTTTTTTTTTTTTTTTTGATGATGAGCTGAATGTAATTATCAACATCCAATGCGTGAGGGAAATATTCAGTGGTAATAAAATTCAAAAGTTATGATCTTTACGTTTTTCATTTCATATCTGCTAAATATAAAATAAATTTTCCTCTTTAATCTATTGAAAAAAATTTAATTTTTAAAATATTTATTTCATTTTGTATCTCTTCTTTTCATTTTTTTCCGTTAGTTTGTTTATGCCAAAAAAGTGGTCAAAATTCCAATTTGAATTAAAATGACAATAAATTCTGCTCAACCTATATAGGGAACAATTGCATCGTCATTCAATGGTGAGTCTCAGTTAAAATTTGAATGCGCTAGCTTGCTCGTAAGAGTTCACCATATACATTGACGATAGTACTTTAGGCATTATTATGACGATTATTCAGGGTGTGAAATGATCAATCATGAAGGAATTGCCATCAGAAACGGTTCATCAACGGTGCCATCAGTTCAGTGGTCTCTCACCCAGGAGAGAGAGATTTTTCAGGGTTAAACCCCTCCCCCTAGAAAACGCAAGCAAGGTATCATTCATTCGATTATCTGAAATTTATCTATACTAAAAGAAAATATGACCTTAAAGTAAATTTTTATTTGAGAACGAAAGTTTTCTTTCTCATTGAGTAAATGATCTTTAAACAGAACATATAATTAAAACAGTTCGACACACTTTTTTTGAATATCTTTTTAAGGGAGGGAAAGAAACTATTTTCAAATGTAGAGAAAAGGAGGATGACTTCTTTGGTGTAATTGAACAGGCACAGGATCGACGATTATTAAATAATTATTAAATAAAATGATAAAAAAAGAATTAAAAACTATTTTTTGCATGGAATTATCTTTGGATAAGCGAATCTTATATGTGTGAGCAAAAATTTTTCAGTTTGCTTAATGTCTCGAAATTAAGCCTTTCTTAATTTCTTGCGAATAATGCATAAAGTAAAATTACCTTTAAGGGGTTCAATCTTTAGAAAAAAGTAAATCAAACGCCCTTCTGACCAAACTATTAATAACCTATTTTTACCCAATCTATATATTTTGTATTTTAACTATGTCGATAAATAATCAATTTTTTGATTGCGTAATAAAAAATTTTATTGATGAAAAATAACTATTAGTTTAAAGACTTTATTTATTGCATTATTTAAAATAATACAGTGTTCAAAATTCGTGAAAAATAAAACTAAGATAATTAATTTTAAACCCCCCGCCCTAGAATGATTTTCTGGGTGCTTCAATTCATTGAAAATTTGTGTGAATTATTATTTCACCTTCGCAGACACGAAAGTAAATTAAAAAGTCACATTATGTTTCGGAACAGAATTTGTAACAAAAAATGTATATATTTACCATTGGGAACACGTCAGTTCCGAACAGCATTCATTTGCAGATCTAACATTGTTTTTTCACACATATTAAAAATTTTTTTCTGAATACGATAAAAGTGAATATCATGTGTAGTAAATGAAATATATTGTTGTTGCAGGTGAGAGATATGATGAGAGAATCTGTGCATCGCATGCGCTTACGGTATTCAGTGGCCGAGAGGAAGACTGTTGTGCACCTTCCAGACCTTAACACGGCCATGACCACTCAGTGTCACAACAAGAATTCCACGAAGAGAGAATCGTATTCTATAGAAGAAGTTTCGGATTTCTTCTGACTTCTTATTTATTGCTATTCCAAGATCAGTTTCGGATTTTTTTTTTTAATGAATCTTGAAATTCCGCGCTCGACAGTTCATTGCCGTGAAAAGAAAATCTTATTTTAAAGAGAAGAGACTTCCTTTTTAATCATTTCTTTACACACGATCACATCAAGAAATCCTCGAAGAAATTTTATTCCATACTAGAGTAAATGGAAGGACGAAATGGGTATTCATTCAATTGCAATTCTATGGTCAATGTTAGACTCCCGCTATTCATTCCATCGTGGTTCAATGATTAGCAGATTAATAAGAATTCCTTGAATAAATTTTGCTATTGAAATTCCGTGATCAGCAATTTAACAAGAACACCGCGAAGGGAAATCTGAAAGAAAAGTGACTTCTTTTTGACTCATTTCATGACACGTGATCATCAGTGCATCAAAGAATCCGCAAAAGAAATCTTACTCCTTCGAAGTGGAAATGCAGGTCGAAATGAAGATTCATTCGATTGCAATTCTAAGGTCAATGTCGGACTCCCGCCATTTATTTTATCGCGATTCAATGATTAGCATATCAATAGGAATTTCTTGAGAGGAGAATCTTCTTCTACAACCAAACTGTCTGGCTTCTTCTAACTTATTCCATTGCAATTCCATGAACATTGTAAGAATCTGTGTTAACGGGGAATTGAAATAACTGATACAAGATTCCAGCGTATCTCCTTGAATTTCAAATGATAATGAACAAATATTTAAAAACATTCTAATCGTGTTACCTTCCACCACTTAAAATGTCCAAATTTATAAGAAACTATTGAATCGATTTTCAAGGAACCTTCCTATAGTTTAAAATCCTCTATTTTTCCTGAATCGTGTTAGTTATTTTAATACAAAAAATTTATAGTATGACATTTCTGTCGAAAATTGACTATAAATACGTTTAAGCGATACAGAAATCGATTTTTAAAACATAACCAAGTATAAAAATGTGTGCTTTTATAAAGAAAAAGTAAAAATTGGATATGAAGGCAATAGATCCTGAGAAAAATAATCTTTTATACAAAAAAAATTATCACTTTTATTCTATCTGCGAGATTCATTCTATCTTATTCTATCTCGAGACTGAAAAGGAGTACAAAAATATAACTAATATTTTTGTTTAAAACTTAATATTACAAGTCGCCAAATCATTAAACCTGCCCTACATTCATCATTTAAATTTACAGAAAAAATCCAATTGTATGCACTATATGCTATTAAGCATCAATTGCGGATAAGTACATTTAATCTTATTCATTGGGTTGATGTAAAAGGTGTACAACTAATGTATAGAAGATTCGTACAATAAATTTTATACTGTGCATAAAAAATATATTACTCGGATACAAATTTTTGTTCATAGTTGCTGTCATTTTTGGTGTTAAGATAAATTAAGTACATTTTTATGAACAGAACTGTAATTATCGTGCGAAAGATCATATGAATGACGAAATAACAATTATTTTAAAAAATTAGCACGTATATACGAGGGTTGTTGTTTTTTTTTAAGTAAAGGGCCAAATTAATTTTCATATCCTAATTACGCTTCTCTTTTTTTTCAGCATAGTTACCAAGTTTGTTCAAACACTTATCACGCCTTTCGACTCAATTTAGAATACAAACTTGCCTCCTGCTCCGTTAACCAAGTGGTCACGGCCGTTTTCACGTATTCGTTACCGTTGTAGTGATTGCCGCCAAAATGATGTTTGAAATATTGGAAAAGATGAAAATCACTCAGCGCAAGGTTTGGTCTGTAGGAAAGGGAGGTCCAAAACTTCCCTACCAAACGAGTCCAATAAAACTGGGATCTGAGCTGCAGAGAGAGTCATTGTCATAGAGTAGCAAAATTCCTTGTAAGCATGGCAGGGAATTTTGCTACTTCACAAATCTGCCAGTGAATGTATGCAGCAGACAGGTTTTTTGACGACTAAAAAGGCATCACTTATTGTATATCGTGCTTGGCTGGCGGTTTCTTAACTTAGAACATTTCAATGACATAGAACTGACCTTACAGTTTCCCTACACACGTGCAACTGAACAGAGTTGTTCCCAAGGAATGCTGGACGCGACGCACGCGTTACCTATTAGAGTACACAACAAAACGGCTCTTACTTAAAAATCAACCCTCGTATTTCTAAAAATGTGCTTGTTTTCTTAAACAAATTTTTTACAAGTAAAGCCTTTAAATTGATTCTTATGAGGCTAAAACTTATGTCAGTAAACTAACAAACAAAGAATGAATAGATAAATAAATAAAACTGTAACAATGAAAAAAAAAATTTAAAAATGTGACTACATGTACTGTAAAAATTGTGAGCTACTTTAGTTAAAAAAATTATTCAATTTAGTAAACAATTTCTTTTTAGACAACAACGAAAATAGTGGCAACTATACACCAATTTTTTTTTTACAATGTACCATTAAATATCCAAGAAGTATAATCGAATGCGCGATATAACACGGATTAATTTTAAATTTCGGATTCATATTATTAACTTTCGTACAATTTGTAATAATAATATCATTTTCATACAGTTGAATTTCGGAATAGGATATCAGAATGTGTGATTTAATGTTTACAATTCAATTACTCCTCAATTACCGACCTTCATACAATTCTCGAAAATCAGTATGCATTTTCATACCGATAATTTTGGAGCATTCTTACCGAGTGTGTGATATAACAATTAATCTTCAATTATCGATTCGTACATGTAATCTTCATACAATTCGTAAAAATCTGTATCCATTTAGTGTGCATTTTCATATAAATAAATTTATCCGAATGTGGATCTACCGCGTACAATTAATATTCAATTACCGAGTCAAACTAATAATCTTTGTAGAATTGTAAAAATATTGTTTACTTTTCTTGTGCATTTTTATACAAATCAATTTGGATCCGTTTACCCGAATGAACGATACAATGTAGGGCCTTTGTACTAGTTTTATACAGTGAAACATCCAGGAAAGAGCACCTCTATTGACGACCACTTTTTAGGGAGGCACTGAATTTTTTCCATGGACTTTGTGTTAAAGAAAACCTTTAGAAGAGACCATTAAAACCTATCCCAACCACCGGGCAAACATCAGCAAAGACTAAAAAATATCAAAACAAAAAATTTTGAACAAATCTAACAAGTAGATTAAAATGTATTCAAAATATTTGTGCGGGGCTCTTATTTAGAGAGCTCTCTTTGAGGACGACAACCTCATGTTGCAGTCAGTAAGGACGATGCTATCAATGATTTAGAGTTGGAAGTTAAATTAGGAAAAACGAGTTATTTTAGGAAAAACAAGCATCTCAAATGAACAACCCTCTTCTCATCTTTAAAAGCTAACTCATTTTTATGATATAAAATTAAATGCAAACTTAAACAAAATAAAAAATAATATTTTTAAAAACCACGTTTTCGTAGTGGAGAATAATATTTTAAAAAAAATTTGAAAAACGAAAAACGTGGGGCGCATGAAATACATAACAGTAATGTTATATTAGTGTGTGTATGTGTGCTCTTGAGAATATGTGTATGTATATCTGTAATTGTAATTGTATCTGAATGTGGATGTGGAATATGTTTGTGTATATGCATATGTATGTGGATGTATATGTGGCTGTGCATGTGTATGAGTAAGAAAATGTGTATATGTATGTGTATATGTACTGTTATGTATTTCATGCGCCCCACGTTTTTCGTTTTTCAATTTTTTTTTAATTATTATTCTCCACTACAAAAACGTGGTTTTTAAAAATATTATTTTTTATTTTGAATTTTTTTATTTTAAATTATAATTTTTTTAATTTTTATTTTATATTTTTTAAAAATTATTACTTTTCAATTATTATTCTTCACTACAAAAAACGTGGTTTTTAAAAATATATATTTTTATTTAGATTATTTTTCTTAGTCAAGAGTAGTCAAGACTACTACAAGACCACTACTAAAATAATAGAACTTTCATTTTAAATTAGGGATACAAAAATCTTTATAGAAAAACAATACCTTTACGACTTTCATTAGTTTTATGCTGATGACAACCAAAACAATCTGGAAATGAATGAGGAAAAACTGGATCCTACCACGTGATTTTTCAGCCAATAAAAATACTCCGACAATAAAAATCTTTTCACCTGACATGTAATACTAATTTGAAATAATGGAATCGACAACAAAAGACAATCTCGAAAATAATTTTTTTTTTAAATTTTAATTTTATTTTACTTTGTATGTCTTTTTTCTCTTCATTTTCATGCATTGTCATTCAATTCTGAACTATGTGCCAAATCTGAAGTTCGTAGCTAGTCGGGAAGTTAGTTTAAAATCGATTACAAAATTCCACCCGGACAGACATACACGAAGGCAAGTTTATATAAACGTGGTAAAATGATAATTGTTTATTTTAAGAAAAAAATGTCTTTATCACCGGTAAATTTGTTTTTACACATTATTATATTAGATAGTATCATGTTTATAGACGCTATGTTTAATTCATAGCTCGGCCTTCTCATGGCGCCAACAGAAGTGGCATTTCTGCACCAAGAAAATGACGGTGACTAATATTAAAATCATTTTCGAAAAATCAAGTACCTTCGATAACAGTTTTGAGGTCAATGAAGGTGACCTCTTTGAACGACCCACCTCCATCAACGACCCTTTTAATGTGGAACAGAGAGTGGTCGCTACCGAGAGGTTTCACTGCAGTTTGATTTAAGAGTGTTGTAGAGGAATTTTTTATTGCATTTTTTATTCAAATTTTTACAATTAAATACGCGTTCCTTCAGAGCATTTTAAGAAAAATTGCAACATTTCTCTTCTATTCTTCATTAGTGATAATAACCTTTTAAACAATTTAACGTGTTCGGAGAAATAATATAACTGTGTCTTATAATGTTATAAATGTAAAATTTGAAATTATACGAGTGTGAATCTGCATTGTTTTTCACTATTTATTACCCTATAAATATGTTGATACATTCGAAATCTACGAGACAAATATTTATGAAGTGTCACAAATTGCGAATTTATTATACAGTAAGGAACCGATTATCCGGAACGATCGGGACCATCGCTATTCCGGATAACTGATTTTTCCGGTTTTCTGAATCGCTACAAAAAGCCGTTTTTTTTTTTACTGTTAAACCCAACTGAAAAAAAAAAAAATTGAAAATAATCTTAAAAAGAAGAAAAAACTATGAAGTAATACACAAATGATTATTTCCAAAATGATGGTAAGGTAAACATCTTTCAAAAAAGAAAGAAAAATCCTAAAATCTTATGAGGAAAAAAAATAATTTTTTTTTGAAAATGGCGGGAAAATTTATCGAATTTCGTTCCGGTTTTTTGGTTTTCCGGTTTTCTGATTTCCGGATAACGGGTTCCGTACTGTATTTAGTTTGTAATTTTTCTCTGTATATGTTTATTACAAATCATGTGTCAATGACTATGAAATAAAAGTAATATTTGTCAATATATAATATTATTCTAAAATTCATATTTGTGAAATTACATATAAAAATTATATTTTTGTGAAATTTGAAATGATGAATGAAAATCTGCATTATTTTTATTATTTTTTCCATTTAAATATGTTGATAGGTTCGATATCTGTATGGCAAATACTGAGTATCATTAATCGTAAATTTATGATATTTAGTCTGTAATTTTTCTCTGTTTATGTTTATTACAAATCCTGTGCCAATGTGACTGAAATAAAAATAATATTTCTCATTATATAATAATATTACTCTAACCATGTCCAGTATAATAATGTCACTTAATAGGGTTAAAGGAAAATTATTTGAAAAAAAAACAGGAATTCTTACAGTTCAATACATTTTGAGTATTGGTATTTTTAACAACTTGTTTTTTGCTTTAATTCTAATCAGTACATTTTCTAAGAATATTCTTACTTAGGAAATCTTATCATATTCGTTAAAGCATTCATAATATTATCGAGATTCTATGAAAAATATATTTAAATTCGATGCAAAAGTAAAAGGCGTATCATGTGCAGATAAATGCGTGTGGATCTATTATCTAACGTTAAATAAAATTTATATAAAAGACGTTATAAAATCTATGAATATTCAATCTTCATCAATGAATAATAATTCTTCATGCACCGAAACCCTTTATATTTTGAATAAACATTGAGCTTCTAATTTTCTCATTACTTCAAAAATGAGATAATAAATTGTCTCTTGTAAACTAGAAAAGTAAATCCTGAACTTAGCGGAATATTATAAAGATAGAGTATCAAATTAATTAGCTTTCGTTGATGTGTACATATTTATTTTCGTTAATTAACACTATAGTACTTGACGGTGTTAGTATACACAGTTTAGGGATTGGAAAATTTTATAGAAAAGGAAATAGGTTAAACAAGATTATATTTTTGAAAACTTAATAGATTAAGTTGAAATATTTGTCTCATCCGTAAACATTAAATTTTGAAATTAAAATTCTACGAGTATCCTTTATAAGTTAAATCAATTAATACCATTTCATCCCAAACGGTAGACTAGTGTTATCCTTTAAAGAATGACTTTCTCGAGATGAAATAAAATGTAAGCTCATGAAACGCCGGAAGCGTTTAATCTGCAATTTTAATTACAATTTTGAATTTATGCATTCGTTTTGCCCGTAAAAAGAGCACACATCTAAAATTTATATTTAACCAATTCGTTTCAAGGGTTTCAAAAATTAGTATTATTTTCTCCATTTTATAATATAATATTACCTTACAATTTGTTTTTATGTTATAACTAAGGCCCGGATTTTGATGACATTTGCATTTTTGGACATTTTTTGTCTATTAGAGCATTTTTTTAGATTTATAGGGCATTTTTCTTGAAATTTTGGGGCGTATTTTGCATTTTAATGCATTTTTTAATGTTTTCTGTTAATTTTTTTTACAATTTTTATTATTTTTTATCAATTTTCATTATTACACTGGCTTCCAAACAATGAAGAAAATCTACTGAATATTAACAAGTGAAGTAAAATCTTTTCAAATTGAAGAAGAATTGTCAGNGCATTTCTTCATTGTTCATCACTCATTGGAACTCAATCAATCTCAATAAAGAGGAAATATATATATTCATTTTGGGAAAATAATTCATCATAAATGAAAGATCGTCTGCAGAAATGTAGTTGCCATTTACACATTATTGAATCCTTTCAAAGTCTTTTCATAGAACATCAACGGGATACAAATTATAAGTAGTTGATATTTAAGAAGAGAAATCTTATGGGAACAAAGATTCAGCGGCGTTCTAGAACAAAAGGGATCCTTTTTACAATGTTATATACATCACATTGAAACTAGTAGAATTCGGTCTGAATGAATAAAATATCTTTTGCAACATTTCATCTTTTCCATATAAGTGGTTCGAATATTTATCTTAAACACACATTGGTGTTTCGAATTTTATTTTGGGTTTTTTTTTAATAAAATGTTACACATTTAAGTTTCCCTTGAACTAAATAGGTATAAGATAATCAGTTTTGTAGTTAAGACTATTTTTTTTATTATGCTTTGAATTCAATTTTTTATAATATAATTGTAGCATATACACTGTAAATTTATATTTATCATTCATAAAAGAATAAAATATTTATTAATTGGCACAGAATATAATGCGATTCTGAAAAGCAAAAAAAAAGCGTGTTTTCTTTAGATAAGCAATTTTTTTTTAATTCCAAAGTAACTTTTATTTGTATGCTTAGTTTCAGAAATACAAGGGAAAGAAAAAATTCTAAAAATAAACGATTGGCTATTTTCTTCACTA